TGCCTTTCCAAGGGACCCTTTAAACCAAAAAAAAAAAAAAATCCATCCAGTCAATTCCAATTCATGACGACCCCAAGTGTGTCAGAGTAGAACTCTGCACCATAGAATTTTCAATGGCTGGCTTTTTTGGAAGTAGATTGCCAGGCCTTTCTTCTGAGGTACCTCTGGGTGGACTGGACCCTCCAACCTTTCAGTTACCAGCCAAGTGTGTAACCATTTGCGCTACCCAGGAACTCCTCCAACAGACACTTAAAAACAAGCAAAAAGATGTGTCTTTTTCTTTTTCTGGTACCAGCAAGGACCATGCAGAAAAGGATGCCTACAAACAAAGAAGTCATTTTTACTACCAATCCCAGGTCTCCATTTTTACGTCCCCTTCTATCCAGTTCTCCACAGTCCTCCCCCAGTGACACTCAGTTATTGGGTCATCTCCAGTAGTAGCTTCTGGTGTCACCTCTTCTTGGGACATTTCATTTTAGCAGGACTCCATCCAGAGAGGCTACCCCCAAAGGACAAGGGAGCCGTCCACCCATTACTTCCAACCCTATGCATGGCTTACGCTCATTGGAGGGTTTCTAGAGCTCTGCAGCAAAACCCCAAGGACATTAGAGGTGGATTGTTCCCAACCCGATCTGCCGCTAGGGGAGGATTTTATAGTGTGGCCTGGCAGCAAGTACAGAGTGAAATGGCATTTGGGAAACCTGGGAACCGCCAGCAATCACTCATGCCTGAAGCCGGGCCTTCCTGCCTGAAGCCAGGAGACCTATTAAGGTCTTTCAGCCACAGCTGAGAAGCAGGAAATTTTTTTCAGAGGCCACATTGAAAGAGAGCCTGTGGTAGCAAAGAGAAACAAAACAACTTGAGCTATGAGAAGGCACTTGGAAAAGCTTCCGACTTTAAAACCTGCTTCCAGATATGACATGCTGAGAAGGACAATATCAACTGTCTTGTGTCCCAGCATAACCAGGGGATAACATCAAATGCAAAATAAAGAACATTCCGTTAAAGAGAAAAATAAGTGGAGGCACTGTATTCTTCAAAAATGTCAATGTCATAAAAGACAAGGAAATGCTGTGGAAATGTTTCAGATTAAAGGGGTCTAAAGAGACACGAAAACTAAACACCATAGCTGGCCCTAGAGTGGATCCTGTCGGGTGCGGGGAGCAGGCTGGAAAGGGCGTTATTGGGGCAATCCACACAACTGGAAAATAGGCAGTAGATTAGGAGAAAGTGTTGCATCCGTGCAAATGTATGGAGTTGATAACTGCATTGTGAATATGTAAGAGATGATCTCCATTCTTAGGAAATACTCACTAAAGTATTTAGGGGTTGTCTTAGTTATCTAGTGCCCCTATAACAGAAATATCACAAGGGAGTGGCTTTAATTTATTTTCTCACAGTTCAGGAGGCTAGAAGTCCGAATTCAGGGTGCTGGCTCTAGGGGTAGGCTCTCTCTTTCTATTGGCACTGGTGAAAGGTCCTTGTCTCCTTTGAGCTTCTGCTCCTGGGCGATCTTCATGTGGCTTGGCATCTCTCTTCCTCCATCTCTGTTTCTTTCATTTGCTTGTTTGATCTCAATAGAGACTGATTTAAAACACACCCTACACTAATCCTGTCTCATTAACATAACAAAGACAACCCATTCCCAAATAGGATTATGACCACAGGCACAGAGGTTGGGATTTACATATTTACATATTTTGGGGGGGACACAATTCAATTCAAAACACGGTAAAAGGCCATGATATATATATAACTTACCCTCAATAGTTCAGGAAAAATATCATACACACACACAGCAGATCTGAGCAAAGGATATATGAATGTTGCTTGCACTATTTTTATTTTTGCAACTTTTGTAAATTTGAAATTAATTCCAAATTAAAAGTTTTTTGTTTCTTTAAATAAAGTTGATCTCTGAGCAACTGCTGGCAGCAAAGTGGTGTTCCAGCAGGGCTGTCCCCATCGTGAAACCCATCAGAGGGCACCTTTAAATTTTCTCAAACACCCACTATTTTCCTGAGGCCCTAGCACAGGTCTGAGTAAAACCCACTGACTTGGAGCTTTCAGACTGGAGGAGGAGGCAGGCAACAAACCAGAAGTCCTACAAGTAAATCAATCATCAAAAATTGTTAAAAGCTAGGAAGGAGAAGTTCAAAAAGATAAAAGAATGTAAATTGGGAACCTAAATTCGATTGTCAGGAAAGCCCAAGCCAAGAGCTGAGAGGGCATGAGGAGCCATGCAGCGTGAGGGCCACAGGTCAGGTCTTGTTACTGGGTTAGCCATGGACTGAGAAGTGGGCGGGGGGGGGGGGGCGGGAGGGTGTTAGTCACTTAGTGCTGCTCTAACAGAAATACCACAGGCGGATGGCTTTAACAAAGAGAAGTTTATTCTCTCTCATTCCAGTAGGCTGCAAGTCCAAATTCAAAGCATCAGCTCCAGGAGAAGGCTTTCTCTATCTGGAGGAAGGTCCTTGTGATGCATCAGTCTTCCCTTGGTCTGGGAGCTTCTCTGCGCAGGAACCTCAGGTCCAAAGGACGCACTCTGCTCCAGGCACTGCTTTCTTGGTGGTATGAGGTCCTCATGTCTCTCTGCTCACTTCTCTCTTTTATATCTCAAAAGAGATTGGCTTAAGACACTAATCTTGTAGACCTCATCAATATAACTGCCGCTAATCCATCTTATTACATCATATTTATAACACATAGGGAAATCACATCAGATGATAAAATGGTAGACAATCATGCAATACTGGGATCATGACCTAGCCAAGCTGACAGATATTTTTGGGGGACACAATTCAATCCATGACATGGGGGGGGGGGGCAAGAACAACTGCAGGTGTCAGGGCTTGAGCCATGAGGTGAAGGGGGGTGCCAGTCTGCTCATGGACACCTCCATGCTTATCTCCCCTCTGATCCACACATCTGATTGCTGGCTGGAGCCCACGGGGAATGGGGGTTTCCCACTTGCCCTCACTGGTCTTGCTGCCTGGTAGCTGTGGTACAGTGTGTCTCCTGGAGGGAAAGCCTGATTCTAAAGATGTAGCCCTCACTGATGCCTGTGAATGGTCTCCTGGCCTGAGCACTTCCTTCTGAACCTCCTCGGGGGAATCAAAGCCCCGCCCTTTGGGAGCAGATGTGACTTCTTCAGGCAGCCACAGGCATGTGGAGCTGCTCTGGGTGAGGACATGGGGCCTCAAGCCGGACCAAAGGACTGGGCCCTGACGCCAGTGAGGAGACGTGAATCCCAAGACGGGCCCAAGCAGGGGGAGCCCCGAATCAGAACACCAGAGTTCCCGGGATGGCTCCAAGATGGCTCCATCTAACTTCAGGGCACAGGAGTCTCAGGGAGGTGTAAACAGTTAACTCACTGTGCTGCTAACCAAAAGGTTGGAGGTTCAGTCCACCCAGAGGCACCTTGAAGAAAGGCTTGGCGATCTACTTCCGAATCAACTATTGAGAACCCTATGGAGCACTACTCTGACACACATGGGATCGTCATAAGTGGGACCGATGGTAACTGGTTCACCTTAAGGGCCAGGAGACTCTGGAACCAGACAGTCTGGTTTGAACCCTGCCTCTGCCCCTCCTAGCTGTGTGGCCTGACTCTGCCCCACTGGGCCTCCATTTCCTTCCCCATAAACCGGGAGCAACAACAGTCCTTCCCTCCGCAGTGCTGACAGGATTGTTGCTGTTGTTAGGTGCTGTTGAGTTGGTTCCGACTCATAGTGACCCTATATACAACGGAACGAGACACTGCCCTGTCCTGCACCATCCTCACAATCGTTGTTATGCTCGAGCCCATTGTTGCAGCCGCTGTGGCAATCCGTCTCGTTGAGGGTCTTCCTCTTTTTCGCTGACCCTCTACTTTACCAAGCATGATGTCCTTCTCCAGGGACTGGTCCCTCTTGATAACATGTCCAGAGTACGTGAGACAAGTCTCGCCATCCTCCATTCTAAGGAGCATTCTGGCTGTCCTTCTTCTGAGACAGACTTGTTCATTCTTCTAGCAGCCCAATATTCTTCGCCAACATCATGTGAGGGTTAGGTGAGCTAATTCTTTCACAACAGCGCCCGCGCACGGTGAGCATATCGTCCTCATTGGTGCTGTTGTGTTTATTACCACTGTGTCCTCATCCTCCAAGGAGACCGCCACCTCCCTGGGCGGGGAGGGGGGTGTCACTGGAATTGACCTCTGCAGCCCAGCACACCATCCCTGTCATGTGCCCAGCACCGGGTGGGCCCTGAGCCCAGCCCAGCCTGGGCTGGCTTCCCTAGGCTGCCCCTGCCCCACCGGCCCGCCCGGCTCGTGCGCATGCCCAGGCCTGTCGCCCTCACACTGCGCGCTGTTCCTTCTTCCGCCGGGGTCTTCTGCAGGTCCTGTGCCAACCTGTGGTATTTTTCCTGTTACTCCCCGTCATGGCTGGACGGTGCATAGGTACACAAGAGAACAAGAGAGATGCAGTCAAATTAGAGGCTTTCCGTGGGAAGAAAACAGCCTGTGGCCACTTTTATGAGCGTGCCACCTCCCCACTGATACTAGGACCTGAGACCGGAACTCTGCCACCCCAAGGGGCTTGGGGCTGGGGTCTGGGGAGACGTGTAAAGCCCTAAAGGGCTTTCCAGCTGCAGTCCCACAGCCAGCGTTCCCTCCAGTCGAAGCCTCCTGGCTGCATATCATTTCCTGGACATCTTTAGTGAAATAGGCCTCTGCTCACAATGCCACGTTGTTATTTCCCGGCCAGGGCTTCGGTGGTAGCCGGGGAAGCCCGGCGCCGGCAGGACAGTGCAACAGTGCCATCTAGTGGCCATGCAGAGTGGCTGCGGAGCTCCGCGGTCAGTGACCAGGGATCTTCCATCATCGGGAAAACGTGATCCCGCCTGATCCGTGGTCACGTCGCATTAACTCGGCTTTACAGCGTCTTTAATAACATGATTAGCTGTCGCTGCCACCTCATTAAGAGAAGTAAAGGCCAAAACGCTTACAGGGTTTTGGCCTATTCAACTTGCGTGTTGATGAGGACGCTGGACCCGGATTCCTGGAGTTCCCGGCCGCCGAGAGCCCGGTGCGCGGCCCCGCGGGTCTGGGGCCTGTCTGCGGTGGCCGAAGCCCGCACGTCCGGCGCCTGTTGAGCGGTGGCCGCACCGTGGAGGCCGTCTCGAAAGGGAGGGAAGGACTGTTCTTGGGGAAGACCCCAAACCAACGTGCAGGCTGTACCCTAAGGAGCGCGCTTTGCCTCCTCCTGGAGCGGGAAGGCGCCCACTGGGGGTAGATGGGGTTCCTAGAGCTCCGCCTCCCTTTCCTGCAGAGGTTCTCAGACGTGAGCGAGCATCCACAGCACCTGGAGGGCTGTTAACACTCCTGGGCCACACCCTGAGGTTCTGATTCAGCAGGACTAAGGATCTGTATTTCCATCAAGTTCTCAGGTGCTGCTGGTCCAGGAATGCACTTTGAGAACCACTGCTCAAGCCTAATAGTTACTTGGGCAGAACTGCTCCTTCCTCAACAATTGGTAGGTGCGGCTGGTCTACACTTGCCTTGCTCCATCTACACTGGCAGAGCGCAGGGCCTCAGTCTGACAGCTCTTTGGGGGCATCTGGGAAGAGCTGGAAAGACATGGGAGAGAGGATACAATCCAGTTTAACACTGGGCTCTGTCTTGCCCACCCCAGCAGGCTGGGATTCACTGGAGACTGAGTCCCGCAGCCTTGCGGACACTGCAAAGGCTCTTGGTCCTTATCCAGCATCCAGACCCTCCTGCACATCCACGTTCAGGAAATTCAGGGTGGAGGTCATCTCCACAGAATAAATCTTGGTGGATTCCCACCATCTTTAAAGGAAGACTTGTACTTAAGGCATTTCTGGGTATATCAGTGTGATTTCACCAGAGGGTGGTGTTATGTGTTGAATTGTGTCCCACAAAAATGTGTATCAACTTGGCTAGGCCATTGTGAGGTTAAGATTGTGTGTCAACCTGGCTGGGCCATGATTCTCAAGTGTTTTGGCAGTCGTATAATGTTTGATCACTTCCCTGTTGAGATTTGATGTGTGATCACCCCCATAAAAGGATCTGCTGTGAGTAGCCAAGCAGTTGAAGGGGGGTTTCCTTGGGCATGTGGCCTGAATGGAGTGTGGGTGGATGTTCTGGTAGGGCTCCGGGCTTTGGCTGCCCTGGATCCTGCAACTGGCTCCTGTTTGTCTGACCTCCAGTTCTTGGGGCTTGAGCCAGCAGTTTACCTGTGGTCTTGCCTGCTGATCTTGGGATTCATCGATCTTCACAGCCTGTGAGCAACAGCCCTGCTCTCTAACCTGCCCATCTTGGATTCACCAGCCCCTGCAGCTACATGAATTGGGAGAAGCCTCTATCCTAACCCATGGACTTAGGACGTTCCAGCCTCTACAACCATGTGAGCCATTTCCTTTATATATATATATATATATATATAAAGTTAAATGCGTTACTGGTTTTGCTTCTCTAGAGAACGTAGCCTAAGACAGCCATGATTCCCAGTATTGTGTGGTTGTCTACCATTTTGTGATCTGATGTAATTGTCCTATGTGTTGTAAATCATAACCTCTATAATGTGATAAGGTAGGATTACAATCAGTCATGTTAATGAGGCAGGACTCAAGCTACAGGATTAGGTTGTATCTTGAGTCAATCTCTTTTGAGATATAAAACAGAGAAGCGAGCAGAGAGGAGAGGGACATCATTACCACCAAGCAAGGAGAGCCAGGATCAGAGTGCATCCTTTGGATCCAGGGTCCCTTCTCTGAGAAGCTCCAAACTAGGGAAAGGTTGATGACCAGGACCTTCCCCCAGAGCTGACAGAAAAAGAAAGCCTTTCCTGGAGCTGCTGCCCTGAATTCGGACTTCTAGCCTCCTAAACTGTGAGAGAATAGATTCCTGTTTGTTAAAGCCATCCACTTGTGGTATTTCTGTTATAGCAGCACTAGGTAACTCAGGTAGGTGGTTTCCTCAACCTGCAGTTTCGGCACATGGGACTCTGACAATCAGACTACGTATGCATTCCGCCAATCAGAAGTGAGCGTTGGGTCCCCTTCCATTGGGACCCACACCACTGCTTGTTACTGTTGACTTGTGTTACAGAGTAGGACTGCTCCTTAGGTTTTCTTGGCTGTGATGTTTTAGGAAGTAGACCACCAGATCTTTCTTCCACAGAGCTGCTGGGTGGGTTCAGACCACTAACCCTTATGTTAGCAGCCGGTGGCAAAACACTCATGTCACCCAGATTCCCTTCAACATTGCTTACCCCTGCCCTACTGCTTACACTGCCCTGTTAACTCAAGAACTGGGCATCAGCTGATGTGGCTCCTAACATGCAACATCAATCCACTGAAAAAGTGATTTGTGTGTAACTTGGAACTCTTAAATTATGAGTTACGCCATGACAGAAAAAATGTATACATGCAGGAACAATGTTAACAGGCCCAGGGTCAACTTATTGTTAGCAGGCCCAAGGATCTTAGTCTTCACACCTCAAATGCCAGCTGGGGGTAGACACAGGCTGAATCATGGTCCCTGGCCCCTGGTACAGTGTTCTCTCTTACTCCACCAACATTATTCCCACCCCAGATTAAGTGGTGTCAATTAAGGTTCCTGACTCCAATGACAGAGGTTGCAAACTCCTCACTCTGGAACAATCTATAGCCCTGTGGTATGGCTATGTGGACATGAGGACATTTTCTCCCCTGGGCGATGGCACACATGACCTGCTGGGCCACACTGTGGTCATCCTGTAAAAACAGAAACCAGGGACCAAGTCACCGATGCAGCCTAGGACAGTCCCCCATCCCACCCTCATCCCACAAGCTCCAAGACTGCCATCCTGTGGATGGTGAAACCCTTATGTGACTGCCATAGATAGATAGATGGATGGATGGATGGATAGATAGGTAGATAGATAGAAACGTACATAGATATACAGACACATAGATAGATTCATAGATACATACATACATAAATACCTAGATGCATAGATATAAATTCTAGTCAATTCCAACTCATGGCACCACACGTGTCAAAGTAGAACTGTACTCCATAGGGTTTTCAATGGCTGATATTTCAGAGATAGATCACCTAGCCTTTCTTCCAAGTTGCCTCTGGGTGGACTCGAACCACCAACTTTTTGATTAGCACCCCAGTGCATTAACTGTTTGCTCCATCCAGGGACTCCTACACACAAACACACACACATAATTTCATATTTCTTAAAAAGCAGTAGAGAATCTGTCGTGTCTGGCAGGAATCAGGTCATGGCCTGCTGCCCTTTCCTCTTGCACTGGGTACATCTCTACTCTGTTTCTGAGATCTGCTCAGTTGCTGAGTTTGGGTTCCCTTCCGACTCCTCTCCCAATGCTAGTGAGTGGAGGTGGCCGGGAGGGGGCACTGCCTCTCTGCCCAGCTTCAGCACAAATTGTAGTGGGAACTGTGACTACCCATGAAGCAGGGTAAAAGGCAGGGAGATGCTAATGAGGGTCAGGGTTCCAGACACTGCAAAGCCAGAGTTTCTGCCAACAAGACAGAATCCCATGCAAGGCTGATCTTCTGAGGGAGAGACTTGAGAGTTCAGAAACACTTCTCCATCTGAAGATATTTCCCCTACCCTCACTCTTTGGTTTTTATTCCTTTGGGTAAAATCTCTACATTTTGCAGGCTGCTCTTTATAATAGCTAAAAGACAGAAAACAGCCTAAATATTCAACAGGAGGAAAGTGGTTATGTAAAACCAGAGTACATTTACTTGATGAACTCTTAAACTAAACCAAACCTGTTGGCGTGGAGTAGATTCCAACTCATAGTTACCCTACAGGAGAGAGTAGAACGGCCCCATAGGGTTTCCAAGGCTGTAATCAATCTTTATGGAAGCAGACTGCCACATCTTTTTTCCACAGAGCCACTGGTGGGTTTGAACCGCCAGCCTTTCGGTTAGCTGCCAAGACTTAAATGTGATGGTTAACAAGATTAGAGTAAAATTACGCAGATAGCACTCAAATTAAAAAAAAAAAAAAAAAAAGCTAGAATAAAAATTGCATGTACAGTAGGATTACAGGTATGGTGTATGATGCTTTACTGTTTAAGAACAAGTATCTCGGGATAATTCTGGGGTGGTGTGAGGGGGTTGGGAAGTAGAAGTATATAGCAAGATATGAATCATTAAAGGCAAGTGTTGCCTGTCCCCACCTCGGAGCCTCAGAGCTACCTGGGCTCTGCCCCACATGACTGTCCTCTGGACTCTGCCTTCCTGACCTGGGTTCTGCCCCAACCCGACCTCAGGGGCTCTCCAGGGGGCGCCACCCCACACCAATGCCACACCAGACTGACAGTGTCCAGGTTCTGCCAACGGTCCTTTCTGTCTATGCAGTCTTTCAATGGATACCCACCAGGCCCAACTGCATCAGTCTTCAGGGATCTTACAAGCTGAGGGACATCCTCAAGCGGACTCTTTGCTTCTGGGCCACTTCATTAGCATCATCATAGAGTCCAAGAGTCAACAATTGTGGTAGCTGCTCCCACACATCCCTCTCTCTCATCAGTACCCCTCTCTCTTCTCAGGAATCCCCTCCTCCACTACACTCACGCATGTCCACAGCATTTGGCCCTTGTAAGCAAATGAGCTGTGGACGGATGGTTCTACCTATGAGCAACATCTATCGCTCCCTCTGAGCTCATTTCCCCCAAAACAGTTCCTTCATGGCCATTTTTCAAGTACAATGTTGGTGTGCTATTGGTTGAGATAAGGACGAAAGAGAGGAAGGCGGCCCACGGAAGCAGGATGGGGGGCGCACAGAGGACAAGGGTCCTGGTTACCACCATGCTGGGTGGAGTCCAGGCCCAGCATCCTGGCTCAGCACAGAGGCACAGACATGGACTCCCGCCCTTGGTGCCCACTGCTGTGCTGCTGGCCCAGCCCCTCCCCCACAACTCACCCCATCCTCTTTGCCTTGGTAACTGTTCTGTCCACCCAGTATCTCACAGGACAGCACTGCTCCAGGAAGCCTCATTGGCTCTGGAGGGGACACCTCTGCCTCTGTGGCTATCATTTTTCTTGAAGGGGCTGCTACTCACTGTGGCTGAAAAGTTCTAAGAGGTCAGGGGCCACGTTGCCATGCTCCTGAGTATGTATGTCCCAGCACTCAGCACAGCACCCAGCTGTGTGTG